ACGATGCTGCAAGAGGCTGCCCCGCCGGCAGCAGGGCCCCAGCATCTCCAAAAGTCACGCTGGGAATATTTCCGCTGACTGACGGGCGTCAGGTTGAACATCCACGTGACTTTTTGTCCCAGTTGTTGCGAAAGTGCAAGTCGGAGAATTCCAAATTAAGCGGAGGGCGTTAATAAAGTTGTACCGTGGACTTCAATAATCTTTTTCCCCCCCCCCTTCTGTTTTTCTCTTCCCCTTACACCCTCACGCAGAGAGGAGCGGTTCGCCTTCGGCCACCATTATTTCCGTCCACACGAAACACATCATTCCCCTTCTCGAAAGTTTTACCACAACGAGCTCTTCCGGGTGCCGCTCTACGAAATCATCCCCTTGGAGGCCGTGGTGGGCACGTGCTGCGTTCTTGACCTCTACACCTACTGCAAAGGTGAGGAAACCCAACGGGGTGAGAAATGCAATGCAGTACCCCTCCCTGATAACTTGCTCCTTGTTTCCTCTGCAATCCGAGTCACTTTTTTATTTTTCCAATTGGTTTGAAACCGCAGGGAGGCCAAAAGGCGTGAAGGAGCAGGATGTATATATTTGCGATTACCGCCTCGATAAATCGGCTCATCTCTTCTACAAGATCCACCGGAATCGTTACCCTGTGTGCACCAAGCCCTACGCCTTCGACCACTTCCCCAAGAAACTCACGCCCAAGAGAGACTTTTCAGTAAGTGTTTCTTTTCTCACTTTCCTTGAATCTTGCTAGAAAGCTGCACATCTTATTTTCGAAAGCCCCCGGTCCCTGTTTATGAAGGGAGCTCGGTAAACTGAAGGAAGGTGGCACAGTCTGGATGAAAAGGTGACTGGAAAGAGAGCTTGGAAAGAAAAATAGGCAGAGGTTCAAAGGCAGACAGGTGTGGAACAAACAGCGTAAGTTTGGAGATGGTGAAATGTAGGTGCTTTCATTTAAGGTGATTTCATTTAAGCCACTCGGGAGCGAAGGGAAGCTGAAAACTCGCTGTTCAGTTGCGATTCGTGACTGTAAAATAATTGCTCGTGTTCGTCAGCTTGTGTCGGGCTTTCTGCCCTTCAGTGTCGGTACTCCGGGTCGTAACCAACTCGCCTTGAAAAGGGCTTGCAGAATCGGGATTTCCCCAACAGAGAACAGTATCTCCCTGCTCCAGCAAATGCTGTGCCGCTCACTTTCTGTGTAATTATGGCTGAAAATGACTCTTCTGCCAAAAAGCAGCAGCAGCCAGATAGGCAGCAAATCATGAATCCCGTAACATCCCCTGTCTGACTGTCTCTTCTTTCTGCTGTTCACCGGCTCCGTGAAGTAGCAGCTCTTTATTAATAGAAACACAGAATCGTGGAATCATTAAGGTTGGAAAAGAGCTCTAAGATCGAGTCCAACTGTCAGCCCAGCACCACCGTGACCACTACACCACGTCCCCAGGTGCCACGTCTGCCAGTCTGTGAGCACCTCCAGGGACGGCGACTCCACCCCTGCCCTGGGCAGCCCCTTCCAGCGCTTCACCGCTCTTTCAGTGACGAAATTTGTCTTAGCATCTAATCTAAAGCTCCCCTGGCGCGACTCGAGGCAGTTGCACGTGTCCTGCTCTGTCTCTGAGCACAGCGGTAGCGGATCTGGCAAATCTGCAAGGCAGCGCTGCCCTCCCTGCGAGCACAGGGAGTTTAGAGATGGATCCAAACTCCTGCTGCTGGAAAGTGAGGGTGATTTTTATCACGGGGCTCTGTGGCTTGAAATTAAGTTAGAAGACGAGAAGGATCAGGTAATAAGCCTGGCTCTAATGGGCCCTTATTACGTGATTCCGCCTCCTCCTTTGCATTCCCAAAGTGTCAGGGTTGGCACTTCCAGAATATTTGAGAGACCGGCACCTCCTCGCACCGCGAATTTTCTTTGGTATTTACCGTAATCTTCGTTGTCGTTACAGCCTCATTACGTACCAGACAACTACAAGAGAAACGGAGGCAGGTGAGTCTTTCACCCACCAGATTGTTCGCTGAGGAGAGGTGAGAGAATCCTCTGGGTTCGTCAAGTGTCCTCTCGTCTTCCTGCCCATTTAGTTCTGTGGAAAAGAAAAACCAGTTTAAATTATTTAAAGCAGCACTCTGACCTTTCAAAGAGAGAAAAAAGTGAGGAGGGATAGAATATAGAAGCAGAAACACGGGGAAGTGCTGGAGTTGGCTGTTTAGGAAGAAAAAAACCTGTGCAAATGGAAATAGAAAAGCAATTTGGTGTTAACAGAGTGTATTTGGTGTCATGTAAGCACGGTTCCAGGGACGTGGCCTCTCGTAGGTGGGGACTGGTGGGTTTGAATCCCTGTGTTAAGTTGAAGGACCGAGATTCCCGAGAGTCCGTGACTCACCAGTCGTTGGTGAGAGCCTGAAAAAACGGGGTATTTAATTAAATGCCTTTTATTTTCTGCCAGATCGTCCTGGAAAACGGATCGCTCGAAACAGCAGATTAAAGACTTAAACCAAGAAGAAGATTCTCTTCCGCTCATTGAGGACGTGTTAGGAAACCAAGATCCAACTCCGAGCGAGATGCCCGGCCTGGAGGAGCCCGAAAAGGAAGCAGCTTCTGGTGAGACGTGTGAAACGGAGAAAAAGGTGGAGGAAGGCGGTTCCGAGGCGCGGCAGCTGTGCACTCCCGAGGAGAGACGGCACCTGCAGAGGGAGAGACTGAATCAAATCCTGCTAAACCTCCTAGAGAAAATCCCAGGGAAAAACGGTGAGATTTTAGGCTGCGATGACCCAGTCGGGATTCTTCTGCAGGTGCGGTTTGGGTTTTGAGAAACCGTCTTGATCGACTAAATGTTCTTGTCTGACTTCTAAAAGCCCCTTCCAGCCCAGCACATTCTGTGATTTTATGATTCTATGAATTCCTTGCCAGCTGCCGTCAATAATTAAGTTTTCGCTGCAGCGATGTTTTCTTCTGCGGCAGTTGCAGTTTCCACTAAATCCAAATGAAATTTCTTACCGCTGGGCTTTGTGTGATAGTTCTAGCACTGACAAAAACTTCCTGAAGACAAATTCCCCAAATTGTTCCGTGGTTACAGCTGAGAAACATAACAGACAAAGACTGAGGGGAATTTGGAAAGTCGCTTTTGACCTTTAAGGAGTTTTCCCTTGGGTTCTGAGTGACTTCTGTGGGTGCTCTCGAGTAAGGGCACGGTGGTCGCGCTGGCCGAGTACGTCCCTGGTTTGAATTTAAAGCCTAAGGTGAGATCCCTGTGGTCTCTTCGGTAGTCTTGGAGCTCATGCAGAACAATCACGGGCTCCTAGAATAATTCAGGTTGGACGGATCTTTGGAGCTCGTCTGGTCCAGGCGTGACTCAGTCAGGGCTGACGGTGAACTCAAGTTGCTCAGCGCCTTGTCAGGTGGAGTTTTCAACATCGCCGGGGATGGAAACATCCTGACAGAGCCATAAATGGGGAAATCACAGGATCACAGAGTGTTGGGGGTTGGAAGGGAGCT